CTTCCACCCCTCGTCACAGCACTGGGATGACACAATTTCCACCAGGAGCTCCAGCCCACCCTTGGTTCACCTTTCCTTGTGCACCAGGTGTCCTGCACCATCACCTGGAGGTTTCCTCCCTGCTGGCTCACTAATTTTCATTTAGAAAATCGCTCAAACTGCTCTGTGATTCTGCACTGCAGTTGCCCTTAAAACCTTTCAGATTTAGTTTCCACTAAGCTCTTTCCTTCCCTCTCCCTCTAATTCTGCACAGGAATTATGTTTAGCTCAGCAAACAGATGAATAAAATCCCGCAGGAGGGTTCATATAGGAACTGCAGCCAGAGTGGGGCTTTTGCATTCCTCCCAGGATACTTTTGAAAGCTGTAAATGTTTCCAGTCCCTGGAGGAGAGCTGTTTCTTGTCCTTGTCTGCAAGTGGTATATTATAACACCCAGTAAATTGCAGGTAAAACCTAAGGGAGTAATTGCTGCTGGTTATTTTCAAATGTACTGGAGCTTGCAAATGAAAAAGCAATGCCCCATAAAACCTGTGTGTGTGAATAATTAAAGAGGTAACGTGGGACAAATAAACTTAAGGAATGAGAAGCATTGGGCAGAAAGGAAAAAGAGTTATGAGACGGCAAGAGGAAGTTGAGGGCAACATTATGTCTGGTATACTTTTTAAAATATGCAGTTATTTCTTTAGGAAGTGTCATCCTGCAAGCTGGCACATCAGAAAATGATGCTCCTGTTAATAAATGATTGAAACTGTTGAAGACTGAACTTGTAGCCCTTAAAGTAGCAATAATCCAGCTCCAAACCTGAAACACTGCGTTGTAACCAAATGAAATTTTCCTTTTTATTAAAGCAAGGAATATTAACTAGGACTTGGGATAATTTAATTTTGAAATAAATTTATTGTACGAGTAGTGGTAGCTCACAGATTCCATAGAGAAAACATTTAAGCCCTTAGGAACTTGGTCACCACCTCAATCCAGTGAAAAAACCACTTCACTGGCCATCAGTGTCTATTGGAAAAAATTAAATTTTACCTGTTTTTACCCAAAAGAAAAGTGTAGCAGATTACTTTTCATTACTGCCTAAACTACATGGAACTACACCCAGGCATTTGCTACAAATCCTGGTTTGTTGGCCTGCCAAATCCTAGGGATTCAGTGGCTGAGGGGATTCTAAGTGCCAAAGAAGAGCAAACTCTAAAATGTTTTAGATACTTCAGATATCTCAGTTTTGTATCTTCAAAAAACACAAGTGACCCTTCTTTCTTTAGTGATTAGTGGGGTGCAGAACCCTTCTGAAGGATCATTTCTGGTTTTATCCTGCAAACATTCATTCTGTAATTGGAAAGCTTAGAGAAAAACTTACAAAATATGAATATTAATAATTAGGCTGTAAAACCCTTTGGTGCTAAGCAGGACAGGAAATCTACTCAGGAAACAAATGACACTGAATGGAGCAGGTGAACGCATCTACAGGGTCTTATTCTTGTCTCATCACCACAAAATCCAGCCAGCAGAGGAAGTTTATGGTCTAACACGGTTAAAACAACACCAGCAAGTTCCTGCTTGCTCTTTGAACCATGGCACCAACAGAGAGATTTTCTGCATCCACCTCACTTGACTAACAAACGAGCAGAAGTGTCCTTCCAGCCCTTGTAAGAATTTAATTTACGTGTTTTCTGCTTGCCCACAAAAGGCCAGCAGCGGATTTTCAATCCTGCCAGGACAAGTTTAAAGAACTTTAATGATTTGAAACGGAGGCAGCGTTTGCAAGGCAGGGAGAGAACATTGAACTAGATCTTTGCTTGTGGAGCTCACAAGAACTTAAAAAAGTAGACCTCCTACATAAAATGTGCAGCTGATGTCTAATTTTACCTAAGACTCAGGGCAGACAAGAACATGTACAGGGACAGCAGGGGCAGCAGTGTGGAAGAGCAGTTATTTAACTCACCCATAATTTACCACGTGCCTGGGCCATAATTTAACTCACCCATAATTCACCACCTGCCTGTGCTGTAACTCAGCATTCTGTGTGGTGGTGACATGAAGGGGAACATAGAGAAATAGAGATGTACGTGTCTGTTGTAATAAAATTTTTGTTTGTTATTTTCTGGTTTTTGTTTGTTTGGGGTTCTCCCCCTTTTTATTTTTATTTTTTTTCCCTTTTTTTTTCCTGGTATACCTTGCCTGTCTTTATGAAACTCAGGAACAAATACTTAAAACAAGATGAGAACTTTTAGATGCTTCTTTTGTGGATATAAAGGATTAAAGTCACTTTCCTCAAGATATGCAATAATGGATCATTTAACAAAGGGCAAAAAGCAAGCATTGATTACTTTCAGCTGACAAGCTGGAAAACCTGTAGATCTTGTGAATCTGGAGCATTGCTGGTCTGCTAAACCATACAAAGGTGGGGCTAACTTGTGTGGTTTTCTTCTACTTTGATAATCCAGAGAAAATCCGGAGAAAAAATAAATATATTTACCTGCACTTCATCCAGATACAAGATGAATACATCAGCAGTCAAAAATGAATCAGCAGTTAAAAATCAGTATAAACCACCAGCCTGGAGAATGTTCAAGCTGTCCAACAATAAAAAGAATCTCATTCAGTAAGAATACAGAAAGCTGAAAGTAATCTTAAATTTACAATTAAAAAGCACTCGAGGGAAAAGTAAATGGTATTCCTACTCATAGGAGTTCAGTACAATTCTGGGTGCACGAAAAGAAAGAATTTGAAGAATCACAATACCTTGTTTATTCATAGAAAACAGTCTCATCTAGCTAACAGCTTTAAAAATCCAATACTCTAGTATTTGTGTAGGTACTGGCAGCACAGATCACCGTATTCTTTAAAATAATCTGTATTTTGGGAAATGCTATTGAATTCCCCAGCCAAACAGATGATGAGTCAAGGTATAGGCAAGTGGTACTTGTCAGCCTCTAGAAGGGGGAAAAAAAAACCACAAGCCATTTATTTTTAAAGAGTTTGTTTTGGTGGAGAAAAGGGAGAATAGTAAATGTTTACTGTTTAAGTGGCCATCAGAATTACACACCGTACTGGAAAATTACACAGAGCACTTGCATTGCCAATCTTCACGTATTTGTGTACACTTCACTGTCATTATCAAAAAAAAAAAGCCATATTCTCGCAATGAATTCTTACTTTTGTGTTTCACACACAAACTTAAAAGCTGTTTTGTCTAGACTGGCCAGTTTTCATGGGCAAAGATGAGCAAGGGAAGTGTGATTAAACAGTTTTACAGTTCAGGGGTCAATGAGCTTGAAGTTTGTAGGGTGCTCTGAAGATGATGGCAATTTACAGAGCGTAAGAGAAGCTTAAGCACGAGCAAAATAATGACAAGTTGTGAGCAGAGCTGTGTAATAAAGGGATCATGGAATGGGTTGGAAGGGACCTTAAAGATCATCCAGTTCCCACCCCCTGCCATGGGCAGGGACACCTTTCACTGGAACAGGCTGCTCAGAGCCCCATCCAGCACCTGGATGGGTGGATTACCATGGATAACCAACACCTGTGGATAACACCACAGGGATACCTGTGGCATTAATGGAGAGCCTTCGCTGAATATCAGGACAGAAATAAGCAAAACCTGACACCTTTGAAGGAAAAATATTGAACAGTTGGTGCCACTCCATCTTACTTAGGACTAATGCCCTAAATTTACAATTTACACAATAAATACACCGTGCTGCCCTTAAAAAGCTGAGGGCTTTAAAAAAAGGGACTTTTTAAAGAGGCGTTTATGTGGAGAGAAGCGGGAGATGATAAACGAACAGAAGAGTTTAAGCTAAGGACCTTAGAGGTCGGATATTCAAAAAAGAAAATGAAAGTAACTTTTAAGGGAATTCGGCCAAAAATATCCAAGAGTTGGAAAACGCCCCTTGGGCTCCACCTGGCGAGGAAAGATTGCGGAGCAGGGATTGGGGACAGGGATTTGTGTCCCTTCTCCATCCTCATCCCAGAGCAAGAACAGCCCTAGGTGTGACCCGATCCCACCCCAAACCACCAGCAGCTTCACCTTCCCAGCTTCATGCTTCCCCTGCTCCGTTCTGCCCCATACTGAAATGAAAAGTTGAAGCAGGAATATCTCTAATTCGGGAATAAGCAGGGAAAAAAAATAAAAAAATCACCTCGGAGCTAAACTTGGCTGCCTCCCCCTCCTCTGTCAGGGTCAGATGGGATCTACAGCAGCTCTGCTTTCTCTGCCAGAAGCTGGAATTGACAGTCACAGGATGAATTTGGATGGATATAATTTATCAGCTTTGAAGTTCGTCTTAACAGGATTTCAACAGACACACAGAATAGGTTGAAAGAATTAATCATTTATTTTACGCAGCATAAAATCTGATTTTTTTACATAGTGTTTATCTGAAAATGGCAAGACCTGAAAGTACAAAGTATCAGTTTTTGGAAAATTGAGTAATGCGGCTTGACAGTAAGTGGGATAGAGATCCTAACATAACCTGAAGATTGAATTTAGAAAGACTATACCCCTTTATTCAAAGTTTTGATCCCATTTTCTTTTCAGTCAATGTTAAAAACCTTGTCTAATAAAAAAAAACCAAACCAAACCAAAACAACAGGTGAAGAAATGCCTCTCTAAGCTGGAATAATTTCCTTAAAGGTGAAATCCTTTCCACGCTTCCTGAATAACTATCAAGTAACAGTTAATGTAGTGTTAAAAGCCTTAAAAGATCTCTGCATCTCCATATAAAATTTGCAATAAAAAAAGTGAACTGCCTGTTCCAGGTAAGTCTTAAACACTGAACTTTGTATAGTTTCTGCACACACAGAGTACTGGCTACCAAAGCAATTTTTTCCAGCACATATTGCAATAATCCACACCTTTGTGCCATCAAGAAATTGTTGTCTTTTTATTACCTCTAAACATTCTTAACTCCATTTTTTTTTTTTTTTAACCACAGAATTTTCCAAAGGACAGCCATGCTGCAAATAAAGCCATTTAAACATTCAGCTCTATAACTCCTCTCTGAGAACACAGCAATAAACATGCCCTGTGCAGGTTTGACTTGGCCCTGTGAAAATTTCCCTCATCAGAGGGGGACGGGATGAGAGGATTGTTACAAACAATGTCCTTTATTCGAGTGTTCTGCCTAAATACACATTGCTGTAAAATCAGAGCAAATTCAGTTGCTCAGCTGGAGTTGTTTTTAGGACAAGAAATGTCATGGATGGAGCTCTCAGAGCTCCTTGTGGTCCTCCTCTCCACCCTGTACTTCCTGAGGATGGAGAAAAATGAGAATATACAGCACCAGGGTGTATTTCCAAGTGGGATGTGAAAGAAGTCCAGGGAACATAGTCAAATGCACAAAGGAGTTCTTGGCACACATTAAAATTCAGGGACCATTGGCACAGGTAAAGCTCTGGCTCCAATTCTTCTCCTAATTGCACTGAAAGGATTTTCAACCTACAGTTAATTTTTAAAGCATTAAAGAACTACTTTAAAACAGGTCTGTGAATGATAAACAAGAAAAACATGTCATTTGTTAGAAAGCTGAAATTGGAAAATGGAGATCTTAACCTTTTAGCAACTTCTTTTGGGGGGGAATGCGAAGGGGTGAATGGCCTAGAAGACAAATCAGAAAAATCAGATTTACAACCAGTGAATTAGTAGGACAGCGACTATACTAAAATATATTTAAGTGATTGTTATCAATTAAAAAAAAAATAAAAAGGAAGAGAACACTAATTGAGAGCTCCTTTTTTTAAAATTTTAAAAATTATCTTTTGGGTTTTACTTTTGGCTAGCTCACAAGAAATTCTGTGTGTGCCTTCACGATCTAATCTAAAATTCCCAGTATTTCAAAGACCACCCGACCACAAAAATCTGGCCAAATACAAACCTTTCTTATATTACTACTGCACAGTCATTGATGTCAGCATGTTTTATGATCTCCTGTCCTGCTGCTCACAAGTGCCAGTGCTGGGGGTGAGCAACAGCTCTGTGTGCACTGTTACATGGAGAGGGGAATATTCAGCAGCTGGGAAATGGTCCAGTCTAAAGATGGTCGTGCCCTGTCTTCACCTGGGAGTGGATAATTCCCAGTAGCACCAAAAGGCACCTTGGAGTGCTGGTTTCCCGAATATTCAGGCAAGTGGGCCCTTGCCAAAGGAAATGGGGATTGTTGGATGTTGCACCTACAGCAGCTTCTCAGCAGCTGCTGTCTCACTGTGCCTTTTGTGTTTTGGATCCATCTCACCCAGGGGTTTGGCTGAAGCCAAGTGTTTCTGCTAGCATTCCCAAAGAGCCATTCCCAGGATGCTGGATTACTCACAAGCCTGGATTAGCATCTAGTTAAGCCTCAAAATCCAGCAAATCTAACTGGCTCAGAAGAATGCTCGTATCTCATTACCAACCTATCTTCACTTCTCTCAACAGCAGCAAGGACTTCAGCAGCCAGAAATGAACAATTTATCAATCAGAGAGTCAAGTTTGACAGGAACTAATGTCTTGGTAAAAAGTACAGCATTTTATGCAAAGGATCAATCTGTTATGCTCTTGTAATTTTTAATGAAGCTAAAGGCATCCCATTTATTTTTCTTTCTGCAATTCCCTTTAATTGCACCTCCACAGGTCACTGTACCAACACCTTTCATTGCACCACTCATATTGCTATTTATATTAATGTCTGATATAAGGATATGACAACCAACACCAGCCCAGTTTCTGGAAACCCCTACGGAAATCAAACAAACTTCCAGCAGCACAATAATTTTGTAATACTGGAAAATTTAAGGATCTCTCTTTCTCTCTCTGGAAATGTGCAGTGCTGTGCAACTCTCACAAGCCTTTTAATATTTAAAAGGAAATCCTTCAGTAAGACAAAGCCAGCCAATACACAAGAATTGGGTACTCATAGGTTGACTTTCACTGATAAATTTTACAGCTGCTGAGCACAAGAGATACCAAAACCCGTTGCTACATTGCATTTAGGTTGATGCAACATGCACATCCTAAACACAATCCTTCACCTTAAAAACAGAACAATCCCCTCCACCTAACTTCTTTCACAGCACCTGAACAAAAGCCTTATTAAAACGCTTCATCTATTTCTCTCAGCATTTGAATTGTGCCAAGAAACCCGTGATAATATTTCTAAAACTTGCAAAGGCAGCGCGATAGAATGAACCTATTCCCAGGGCTGGGCTCAGGTTTAACCACTCCAACTCAAAGCACACCCCCTGAAATCCCTGGCTATCTCACCGATGGTATCAGATTACCTGCGAGGCTGCAGCCAGGGGAACACAACTTTCTGACACTTTCCTGGGACGTGGTGTTGCATTCCCATCAGAGGAGAGCTGGGTCAGCAAGAAATATTGATATTTCTTACAAGGGATAGTTTGGAGTGCTGTGATTTGGAGCATCCTGTCTTCTATTATAAATAAAGGATATTTTCCAGTATCATCTTTACTCAATGCTCTGGTTTTTTTCACTCCTCTTCCCTCCTTTCTATTTTTTTTAAGGTGTGGTTTATTCTTACAGCTGAAGTTGGTTAACAGGAACATATCTCAAAACATATACATTTTTTGAAATATATCAGAGAAAGAGATCACTGTGAGTTACCAAGTGACCACACATGGTTATAGTGTAACTATATCTATGTAACTATCACTGTGTTTCATCTTCCATACAAAACTGCTCGAGAACATTATTTTTCTTAATGTGTTGGAGGCTAAAAATGAACTCTCAAGGGTTTCCATTGCTCTCCTTGTTGCCAGAGCAACAAAGCAATGCTCACCTGAATTTCCGCCAGGATCAATTTACAAGCCCAGATGAAGTTTGTGCTGTGAGCAGGTGTCACTCACAGCATTTTTACCAGGAGCCACATTTTTAGTGTGAAGGAATGCCAGGAAAACTCAAGAATATATCTGTATTTCGTTTGTGCTACTTGGTTATTGCTCCTCCTCATTCAAGTGTTTCCCTCAAAATATCTTGACCGAGGACATTCAAAGGGAAAGGGTAATACTTCAATCTTTTATATGAAATCCAGTGCACAAAGAAGACTTTGTTCACCAACTCAGAAGAACTCTCACTAAAGATCCTACTCAGAACCTTTCCCAATAAATTCCTTCCTAAAACTCTGTGTGGTGAGGAGATAGGAAGGTTCTGAGGCGAGGGGAGCAATGAAGTGAAACTTTTTAAGAGCATACAAGTCGTTTTCACTTTCTGAATTGAAAGAGGGTTTATTGTTTAACACTATCCATCCAAAATCCATACTGTGTTTTGGTTTGGAACAAGTGACAGAAGCATAACTTCTATTGCCATAGGGTAGAAAAAGAAGGAATACACCTCTGGAGTTCTTATATGTTAAAACCAAACCCAGGAGAACAATGTGTAATTCTTAATTTAAAGATATTTAGAAAGAGATATGGAAAGTAGAACACTGAGAAAACAGCTAAGCTCTATGGCTTATTTCATGTAATTCACAATTTTTCTCCTCTTAAAAACTAAGAGGCAGAAGAAGAAGGAGACAAGCTCAAAATTCCTTCCTGTTTCCAACTCCAAATTCCACAAGAAATCATTTTCAGACATTGAATCACAGCATCAATTATTTTACTCTACTGAGCCAAGCAATCTGAAAGTGCAAGAATTGAAAAGAAAACCACAGGCACTTCCAGTTATGACGTGAAAGACATAAGTTAGTTAAAAAAAAAACCCCACAGTGTTTTATTTTCACACACATGACGTGCATCTGTGTAAATGCACCATTCCTGAAAAAAAAATTAAAAAAAAATAAAAAAATCTTTCCTTATTCCACGCAGAGTCAGATACAGAGGCAGTGTGAATCACAGAGCAATATGAAAGGATTTTGGGCAGAAAATTGTCTGGGCAAGGGATTGGGAAATTCAGAGCTAAGCTTTTTTTTTTTTCTCCTCATTTCCCATACAGATAACAAACTGCTCTGCTATCAAAATGCAAAGGAATATATTTTCCTTTTTTCATGTATAAAAAAATCCTCAGCCTTGCACTGTTTATCTTTCCAATCCAAACACTTAGGCCAGTGTTACAGAGAAGCCTGCAACTAGAGAAAAGAAAAATTGTCCTATCTGCAAAGAAAACACCTCGTTCTGACCTCAGCATGATGATCTGCATTTGCAGAATGGAAACCTGGTCAAATACATCCTCCCCTGCCTTCTCCCACTGTTGTTTCCAGTCCCACCACGTGTTTGTTTTCATCCAGGCAGGACAAACACACTTTTCATTTGATTGATGCCAAAATGAACACCTCCAACTGCTGCTTGAGCTGAAAAACCAGCCAGCATAAAGACTTTCACTTCACAGCCTGTCCATACAGACAGGTACTTCTCCTTTGAATTTCAAGGTTGCTGAGCTCAGCCAAATTAAAAAAAAAAAAAAAAAGAAAAAAAAAAGTTGTCTTTCTTATTTTGTTTTCTTTTTGTTACACCTTCCCTAGAAATACAGCAGAACACAGACCTCACATTGTCTGTCCATACATATGCAGATCAGCCTTTTCTAAATATCAAACTCAGAAAAAGCCCAACAAAACCCTACACGAGGTGGGGGAAACTGAAAGGTTTCTTTTTTTTTTTTTTGTGCACCAAAGTGGAACGCCATGAAGTATTAATTTTTATAAAATCCAAAAAACATTCAAAGCCAAGCCGTTACATTTGGTTGTGTGGAGCATCTTTGTGCTTCAAGACCAGTTCTAATCCACACACTCACCAGTGGTAGCATCCTTGTAAATTAAGAGAGGTAGTCTTGTTTTACTCTAAGGCTGAACAAGTTTGATTCCCAGTTTTCACCACCTTGGACTATTTTGTTACAGCTCTCAGGGAGGGTGACCCTCTCAAGTGGCAGCAGTGATCCTGAGGGAAAGAAACCACAAACCAACATTTCTTCTTCATCTCCCTTGCTTTTTCTCTGCTGCTTAAGTCTGGCTTTTCTCCCTCCCCCACATCATAAGCACAGTTTCAAAATAAACTGATGTAAACAGAAAGCAGTATTCATTTAATGCAATTAATAAGAAAGAGTATTAATTTTTTTCTCTTTTTCTACAGTCAGGCTCGATTAGTTAGAAAATACTGACAGCTCCTTTTTTTTTGTGAAAGAGAGATGGGCAATTTTGTTCAGACAGCGGAAGAACATCATGGTGTGTTTTCTTTATATTTTTTTTTAAAACTTTTTTTTTAGTTTTGGTTTGCTTTTTTTTTTTTTAAAGAAGGTACTGTAGAGAGCATAAAGGCTCATTGTACTGCAGTAGCAAATCCAGTACCGTAGCACTTCAGAGGTGGCTAACAGTGCTTTGGTTCAGAACCGGTGTTAGAAAATAAAGCTATAAAAGTCACGATGCAGGATATTTGGTGGGATTTTCAACAGCGTTCTGTAGGAACATAGAAAGGACTGAGGAGGCATTGGCTTCTTCCCCTTGGCAGAGCTCTTTGTCCTTGGTCCTGTTTTTAAGTCTGTTTTGGGGATCCAGCCTCTCATTTCCACCGGTGGCGCACGAGGGAGGACTCGTCGTTGACCACGTCATTGTCCGTGTAGCGGTGCTGGCAGCGGGGTGGGATGAGCAGCAGGACGATGAGGACCAGCAGGATGACCCCACACAGGCTCATCAGGGCGTAGGAGGCGATCCAGAGCACGGGCTCGTGGAAGGAAACGCTGGAGACGCAGTTGCTGGCGACGTCCGCTGTGGTGAAAGGGCCCTCGATCTCAGAGACGGGAGAGCCGTCAGCTTCTGGGGAGTTACAGAAATCGGGTCAGAGAGACAGAGCTCAGGTCTACAGACACTGTTTAAAAAGTACTTGTGTACCCCTCTGCCCCTGTCACGGCACGTCTCGGCACCCTCGTGTTTTACCGCGTTTCTCATGGCAATAAAAATGCAAGAATCCCATGTTTATAACAAGGGGCTCTGAAGCATAAGGAGACCGTGACTCTCCCACATCTCCACAGGCTCAGAGAGAAGAGGCATTCCAGTCAGTCAGAGCCCAAACCACTGGATCACTTTTCTGCCTCTGCACTAATCTTTCAAAATACCCATTGAAATACCCTACAACACCCACCCTGGTGAAGGGCGGGGCCCGGGCAGCTTTTTGCTTGTTCATGGCATTTCCAACAACTGGAAAAGCACCTCAGGTGATTCTGTGATCTTCTGTGTTTGCTGTCTTCTTACAGAGCAGCAGGAGGGTTCATCAGCTTCACAGATACCTTAAAGGACTTTATCCTAAACACAAAGAGCAGTGTGGAGAGCAGCACAGACACTCTAGTGGATGAAAATCTAGAAGGAAGGTGAGGTGAGGCAGGAGAGCTGGGTGACAGCTGTCCAAAAAAGGGGAGTGGAAGAGAGGAAGTGTCAGGAGTGAGGAGCAGGGACATGAAGTAGCAAAGGTGTTGGGCCAGGAGAGCTAACCCAGCAACTCAAAAAGTGACGACAAAGTTAAGGCAAGAAGCATTTGTAATTCACTTCTCTAGTCAGCCATGACACATCTGAGTACTTTTTCATGAAGGCCTCAGTTTTAACTGTCCTGCTCGATTTCTCACACATTTTACATACAGGCACACTCTTGCCAGATGGGAAGTGATCCCATCCACTAAAAACCGTATCTCTTATTTTCACATATCTTAGTCACAACTCTGAAACCATGTTTAAAGAGATTACCATAAACTACACCCTTGGAAGGAAGAAGGGAGCTTGAATTTCACAAAGGTGGACTTTAAGGTTCTTAAAAAAATGGAGAATAGGTTGGTTGCTTTATCTGCATAGATTTTGGTCATCATTCAGTCCCTGGCCTCATAAGACCTCATATAATTTAAAGATTTAGGGTTTTTTTTAGACTTAATTCAACTTAATTGTGGGCTGGTGTTGAAAGGGACAATCCTGCACCCTCACTCCTGTCCCTCACAGCCCCTTTCGTGTTGGTGGAGGGAATGGGAGGCTGCAACTCACAGATCAGATGGGAAACCAACCTTCACAACAAACAAAATGCCCAAACAAGGAATTTTCTGTGGAATCACTCATCTGAACCAACCCTTTCTTCACCCCTAAGTGTGGGAAGACTCTTTTAGCAGGAATATGCTGTGAGAGCGAACTGGGGGCACCCGAGGCTGCACCCACGAGGACCCTGGCACTGGTGAATAACCAAACACCCACTCCCCAAACTCATTAGATGGTAAAATTCTGCCTAGAAGGTCTGTGGCAGAAATAACTTTTGTCCAGAGCCCCAGGATTGCACTTTGTCTGCTGTGCAATTATTTCTTCTGGACATCTCACACCCTCACACCTTTGCTTTGTCCCTATGAATTTCTGCAGCAACACCAATCTCAACCACACTTAACACCAATCTGAAAAGCAAGGCCTAAGTATCATTACTTAGTTGTATTTTGAAGAAGTTGGAGGAAAAGAAAAAGAGGTACAATTTTGCACCTTGGAAATAGCTTTGAAAATAAACAGTCTCTAATTACTCATTATTTGGCTCGAGCACAATAATTACTCCTATTAAAGAAGACAACACAAAACTGTTGCCATAGTGGCTGACATTTTAAATTGCATTTTGAGAATGCTTGATAGCAGCACAGCCTCTGCTTTCTTCCCTCCAAAAGGGAAAAAAAAAGTTTTCCCTCACACTCTTCCACCCCCAGAGAAATTGAGAGGAAATTTGCCTAAATTGTTCAAAGAAACAAAATAAACTAACAGTCACACACACTCAGCATATTACACATTAACTAAATTAGAGTATTTTGATGTATTATTTTAGACTATCTGGTGGCACCTAACTACAATACCTTTATAACTGTAGATTTTAAACTGAGATTTTCTTCATTGTTGATGATTGCAGGACAAAAAAAGGTGCCTCTGGAAAAATGCTATTTTCTAACATTTGCATAGAACTCAACACACACTAGCTCACCCACTTGGGTGGTTATAAAGGCAGTAAACCTGGAATTAGATCAAATTCATCATAGAGTTGTAAAATACAGCTTGAAAGGGACCCTGGAAGTCACCTAGACCGGGATCCTACTCAGAGCAGGACTGTCAGGATCAATGGATCAGCTCTGCTGCAGATTTATCCAGCCAGGCCTGGTAAAACCCCGAGGAGGGGAACCCTGTTTCAGTGCTTTAACACCCACCTGGTGAAGAAAAAAACCAACCTTCCTGAATGTCCCTGGTAGATGATGCTCTTACATAATTTCATTTTCATTTACCATGGCTTCCATTCAGCATAAGGCCTTTCAAAACACCAGTTCTTTTCCCATAGGACTATTTATATTTATTTATTTATTTATCTATTTATTTATTTTTATTTTTTTGTTTGGAAAGGGACCTTAAAGGTTACCTAGCTCAAACCCCCTGCCCATGGGTAGGGAACTTTCCATTAGACCAGGTTGTTCAAAGCCCTATCCAACCTGGCCTTGAACATTTCCAGGTTGCTTCACTAAAACCAGCTTGTTGATCTGAACATCCTGTCTCAAGAAGGAACCTGATCCAAAAACCTGTCCTATAAATACTAGGTTATCAATAGGCAGCTCAAAATTATTTGTCTGAATAAGTCTTAAAGGCTTTCATGTAACGAGGAAAAGACAAATTTCCTGCTACAATGGAGTAGCTTCCTGCAGCCATCAAACTTTGCTCATTCTTGGTATGAATGAGAATGAAAATGGTTCAAGGAATAATGTGGGATAAACCAGTTCTCATTTCCAGCCAATTCTGAAAAGTAACCTGGAAGTTCAGTGAAATTCAGGCTTTTAGTCCTGTTCCCATAACTTTTTTATTCATCATATGCCGCTCTAACAGCATACAAAAACACAGATTTAATTTAATGCTCACACTAAGACAGCAAAGGCCATTGCAAAAGCCACTGAATGTCCTTTAACATTCCTCTGCTTCTGAAGACTGAGCCACCAGTAATTCAGTTTAATTTATGCCCACAGAAGGCTCCAAATAAATGCCACTGATATCATTGCTATGAGGGCATGGCTGGCCTCCACGGGAAGCCAGTTGGGCAGCTCCATCCCTCACCACCCGCAGCCGTGGCTCTCCCATCAAAGTGCTGTTAAATGTGGAAACCACAGGCTGTGGAGAAGTGAAACTCAGCACAAGTGGCACAATCCAGCAAAATCTCATCTGCCTCGTGTGAGTGGAACCCGGCAGCTCCGCACGTCTGGGCTCAGCTGATTCCTCAGGGAGTTCCCGTGATGCTGGGCTCGGAATGTGCAGAAAACGTGGATAATGGG